ATTTCGTACTTTTGTTTATTAATGTAAATAAGAAAATTTAGAGACTCGTACATATGTGTTATGTTTTATATTTAAGAGATGTAATGTTTCTGCGACTCTTTTATTATTAATAAAGTTAATTTATTTTACTTAACTCGAGTTTATATGATTTTAAGGAGTATGCTTCGGTCATCATCCTATAAGACGGGGTGTGGCCTGTGCAGCTTTTTTTATATAACTTTGAGCTTTTTATAGATTATATTTTTGTTCAGAGTAAAATAATATTTATTTTAATTAATTATAGAATTTTAAAATTAAATTGTGTGGGTAGCAAATAGTATAAATCTAATATATCAAAAAGTTAAAGTGAAAGTAGCATGTCAATTCCTCATTTTTCTTGAGATCATTTCTATTTAATCTGATAAATATATTAGTTATGTTTTTAAATTTTCTAAATATAAAAATAGAATTTAATATTTAGTTGACTAGATAGTATGTTCTACATAATTTTTAAATATGAAAATAAGCTAATAATGTATATAAAATTTATCTATTAAAATTTTTCAATACAAAAATAGAATTATTTTTTAGTTAACTATAGATTATACACTAAATAATTTATAAAAATAAAAGTCAAATTAATGTGATAATATATATAATAGTTAGATGTTCAAATTTTTTAAATATAAAAATATAATTTATTTTTCAGTTAACTACATATTAGAATTTTGCATTGCATAAATTCTTAATTATATTACTCCACCCACACTTTCTTTCTTGCATATCGTTTACCATAAATTTAGGATACAATACTGAAACATTAATACATGATATGCTATGAAAATATAATTGAAACTTTTAAAATGTTCTTTATTTGCTTTTATTGCGATATTTTTTTAATCGACTTTTAAAGGTAATACTTTTTTTTTATACTTTTATTTGTAATCATTTGATTTCTATACAATGTTTGCTCATGCCAAATAACTGCATAAAACTATTCATTAATTATATCTTATGCACAAACATGGAACAAATTCAGTTTGATAATTGTTTTTTTACTAAAATTTAAAACACTCTAATTAAAAATTAATTTCTCCTAAAATTTAATAATATAACTAATTAAAGATACTATCTACTAAGATTAAAACTGATATATTATTAAGAATTTTACACCTTATAATTTTAATAATTAAATTAATATTTTGTTAAAATTTATTAATTTCATAATTAAATAATTTACAGAAACTAAGACTGTTTAATTACCAAGTTTGTAAGAAAACTAATAATTTGTGCTAGCTGCGTGAGTGAGAAGAAAATAAAAAAAGAAAAACATTGATTGAAAACACAAGCTAGCTAGTATATAAACCAATATGATCCTCCCATTTCTCTTCATCCATTCCCACTTAAGAAGTAAAAAGATATAGCTAGTGTCACAATGGCTATGATATCTTCAATTTCAAAGTTGCTTTTTGTTGCAATATGTCTTTTTGTTTATATGGGTTTGTCATTTGGTGATTTTTCTATTGTGGGTTATTCTCAAAATGACTTGACATCCACTGAAAGACTTATTCAGCTATTTGAATCGTGGATGTTGAAGCACAATAAAATTTATAAAAATATTGATGAGAAAATCTACAGATTTGAAATTTTTAAAGATAATCTTAAATATATTGATGAGACAAATAAGAAGAATAACAGTTATTGGCTTGGATTAAATGTGTTTGCTGATATGAGCAATGATGAATTCAAAGAAAAGTATACTGGTTCTATTGCTGGAAATTATACAACAACCGAACTATCATACGAAGAAGTGCTTAATGATGGTGATGTAAATATCCCGGAGTATGTCGATTGGAGACAAAAAGGAGCTGTCACTCCTGTAAAAAATCAGGGTTCTTGTGGTATGACTTTTCTATTTTAATTAAATGTTTTGTATTTATATATTAATTAACATATCTAATATGTGTATCTATATATATTGATTAAGTACTTTATTTGAATAATGATAGTTATTTTATCATAATAAAATGTATAAATTTTTATTTAAAAATAATGCAGGTAGTTGTTGGGCATTCTCAGCTGTTGTAACTATAGAGGGAATAATTAAGATTAGAACTGGAACTTAAATGAATACTCAGAGCAAGAACTGCTTGACTGCGACAGACGTAGCTACGGGTGCAATGGAGGTTACCCTTGGAGTGCACTTCAATTAGTGGCTCAATATGGTATTCACTACAGAAATACTTACCCATATGAGGGAGTGCAACGTTATTGTCGCTCAAGGGAGGTATATCTACATTTTATATATAATATTAATATCATAGGTACACTCATTTTTATATAAACATTGAATATCATCAATATTAGATCTTCCAAGATTAAATAGTTTTACAAACACATCAAGTTAGCAAGAATCTGACATATACTTTATAATTAACACATATAGTTGTTTATTTAGTCTAGAATTTTGTTGATAAAAAAAATCATTCAGAAGAGTTCCATTTCTTTGTTTAATTATTTTTTTCCTTTTATTGATTTTTTTTATTACAGAAAGGTCCTTATGCAGCCAAAACCGATGGGGTTCGACAAGTGCAACCATATAATGAAGGGGCTCTCTTATATTCAATTGCAAACCAACCTGTGAGCGTTGTCCTTGAAGCTGCTGGAAAAGATTTCCAATTATATAGAGGGGTAATTAAAAAAATTAAATATTTAATTAGCAAATAAAAATTATATAAATATTAAATAGAGATTAATTAATTCAAATTTTTTAATGTAATAGGGAATATTTGTGGGGCCATGCGGAAACAAAGTAGATCATGCAGTCGCAGCAGTTGGGTATGGACCAAATTACATACTCATAAAGAATTCATGGGGTACAGGATGGGGTGAAAATGGATATATAAGAATCAAAAGAGGCACTGGAAACTCCTATGGAGTATGTGGACTTTATACAAGCTCATTCTATCCTGTTAAAAACTGATGAGATCACGGCTTTCACAAAATCCCTTATATATATATATATATATAGAACTTGTATACTCATCGTGTGTTGAATATAATAAATGAGAGGATTAATAATTTGTGTAATCCTATATATCAAAGTTTGTTGTGACAAACTTTTGCATCGCTTGTTATATTATTTGTAATAATGTTTGTTTTGATTGAATAAACTTTTACATATACTTTTATGCAGTTAGTAGACTTTTTAATATATATATATTTTTATACGATAAAAGTCTAAGTTTATTAGACAATTAGTATAATTAAATTTTGCAACTTCAGTTTTAATAAGATTTTTACATAAATAGATAATAGAGTTGTGATGTCCCGTTTCCATATTCTCGAGAACAGTTGCCAACCAATTGAATCACAACATGTAGCTAGAAAATTTTATTCAAAACCACACTATTTTCTATTTTCACTCAAATTATACTTTTTAGATGCATATAGAAAACTCAAGGACTTGAAAAATAAAGCTCTTATATGAGCTTCAGGGAACTAACAGATCTGCAAAGCAAGATTTGGGTCGTTAATCCCAGGACCCTACTTCCTGTTTGTATGCATGGCCAAATGAACTGGCCCATCTTGACACCTCACTGGCTAAGATGTCCAGTGCCTCTTAAAATTCTATTTAGGGCCATTTTTTTAATATCTAATTTATTTTGGTCATTTTTAATTATAAAAAGGCCTTAAAATTTTAATTTCCTTTTATCTAGGTCCCTAAAGATTTATGTTATATTTTTAAAGGCTTAAATTTATTTTTATATTTTTATCGAGTTTATTTCTATTTTTATGTATCTTAATATTTTTTAATTTCTTTTTAATTCGTCTTTCTATTTCTAATTTATCCCATAAGCAAACACATACAAATTATTCACTCATATGTACACATGTTGCAAAACCTACAATTATACGTCTATATATATATATATATATATGCCTTACACACATTTATAACTTGATAACTTGCATGCATAAAATCTGCATATACATACAAGTAACAATATGAATACATAATTATACATCATACACAATAACATGTAGGTTTCCAATCATATGTAATTTTGTACATGCGTATATAATGAGTTCACAGAACCCATAGTGGAAAATGTGAACAATTTATAAAGCCAATAAACAAGTCATCTAAACGAAAAATAGGGTTTCATAAAAACATGGGGGCCTTTGAATGAGACTAACTCAATCCCTTACCTACAGTAGAATCAGAAAAAGTGTCAAAATCCTTATTGACTCGGATCTATACTCTCCTCTAAATCTTAATTGTCACTTGGTTAATTTCCTCGTTCACAAATACATAACACGCATATTAAATGATGAGAGATTTTTAGAAATGAACCCAACAAAACTAGTTTTACTTTGGGCATCTAATCCCGCTTGATGAAATTGCCACGCATCCCTCGCGTGTGCTCCCAGTCACTACGTGTCGCCACCGGAGTGCCAACCGCCACCTCATGCGCGGCCACTAAAACCAGCACACTCCACCAAAACTAGTCATGAACTGCTACATTTCAGCCAGAGATCACTATGAAACAATTTGCGTATCCAACTCTGGCACGAATCATGTGGAATCGTGCCGGGAACACCCCGCAGATCACAAAGTCGAACCTGGGCGCTGCACAAGTCTCCTTCTCCCACCACACACTATTGCGCTATTATTTTTTTGGCTTCCTATTTTAGGTGCAGATGGACCAGTCTCGCATATCCAACATCTAATTTTGTGCACCAAATGACCCTTTTCGCCGCACGTCGATCTTCTTCTCTAATATACTTTCTCTCTCTACATGCGACTCTCTTTCTCCTCACGCATGGGATCTCTCCTCTCCATGGCTCGCTCTCTCATTATTTTTATAGTCAGAGAGAGGAGAGCCCCATACGACCTTCTTCCTCTTTCTTCAGTGGAGAGAAGAGGCATACACGCCTCTTTTTCCTCTTTTTCTTCAGCGGCCAGAGGCATGGTTGCCTAATTTTTTTTTCTTTTTCTGTCACCAAAATAGTGTCATTTTGATGCTCTCAAAACCACATCATTTCACATGCCTAAATTTTTCCTTCCGTCATGTCAAAACGGCATCGTTTTTTGGGTTTCCCAAAACAATGTCATTTTAGCTTTTCCTGATTCTAAAAAGCAGGTGGGATGAGTTTGTTTCTCTCGGGCTGGTTTTTTACAATCTCTCCCCCTTTAAAATAAATTTTATCCTCCAAATTTGCTGTGACCAGGTGATTTGAAGAAATTCTTACTCATTTTCAATTTTCCTCTTTAAGCTAATGGTTTTATTATAATGTTTTTACTGATGGGATCTCTTTAATTCGTTGTGAATTCTTTTCTAACTCTTAGAAGTAAGGTACAGTTGCTAAGAGTTTGTCTTATAAATTTAATTTTTTTCTTAACAGTTACTCTAGCTATAAAGAATGTAATCTAGGGCTACAGTGATCCTCAAAGTTCACTAACATTCCCTAATATCACAGACTTGAATTAAACTATCGTTTTTCAACTTTTGAGATCTCAATATGTGGTTACTTGGAATGTACCACCTATTGGATTTAATAGAAAATATTAATATTGAAACATTCGCATCATTCTTAAGAACTTAGGATTTTATAACTTCTAAATCTTGGCTTGTGAATTTTATAAGGTGTTAGTTTTCAAGACTTTTCTCTTCCATTTTTGATGACTTGATGTCCACTTAGATTATTCTTCAACTAACTCGTATAGTTCCTCTAATTTCGTTAAAGATTGAAGATTCCTAAAATACTCCTCATTCTCTATTCTTCAGAAAGATGATTTCTTAATTACCTGAAAACCCCAACACTATGGTATGTTTACATTCCTCAAATTTCCTATGTTCTAAGTGAAAATCATTTGTTATCTGATTTTTAAAAATTACTTTTAGAAATTTTAAAAATGTTTTAGCACCAAAACTTCCTCCTCTTTACTCAATGGGCTTGGTGCCTAACTAAGTTACTCTTAGTTGAGCTAAATTGTACTTCTACCCCATCAAAGTTTGAATGATTCCCAAGGCACCTCAGTAGTTGATCAATTTTTTTTTTCTTTTAAGTCCTTTTAAGTAAGCAATTATGAAGATCCTACTTCTTAATGAAAATTATTAGGAGTCTTTGATAGAGGGGTCATAATGGCCTAGCTAAGATTGATAATATTCTCTACTTATTCCATGCCTTTTATTGTAGTTAATTACTACACTTTTCGCTTCCTAATGTTGCAAGTGATTATTCTTAGGTATGACATTAAGATATGAATCGTGGGTTTGTCGTATTCTCATCTAGTCTTTGTTGACTTGGAAAATATTTCTTCATGTGTTTAAATTTTAATTTGAGAGTGTCTACTTTGAAGATCCATCTTGATATATCTGTATAGTGTACAAATTTTGCATTCTAATTTAAGAATAAACAAACAATATGTGAGGGGTTATTCACACTTAACTATTTTGTTGTTAGAAAATATCATCAAAACTAATGGCTAATAAAAGTTTGGTTGGGTTGATTCTGGTCATCTGAATTTACTATTAGTCCTATTATGTTTAGAAATTTACTTTTAGAAAAGTTGGTTTGTATATCCTGATCGAATGTCGATCTTGTAGGATATTAGATTTACAGTTGTTTTTTCTCCTTTTTCTTCATGATGTCTCATAATCATCACGAAGCATACTTTTATCAATGGTTGGGAAAATTTAAGGTCTTTTCTAGATGAGAGAGTAGGAAGGTCATATAATTTCGTATTAGAGCAGTCTGTAGTAGTAGTAAGGGTAATCATAGGGTTTTTGTTATGCCTAGTTCAGTTATAGTGATTCCAAGATGGTTTAGAGAGAAATCTTTCATGTGTGGTGGTTTATAGATCCAAACCATATTTCCATTGTGCTACTCCTACCTGTATTGCATTATTTTTGGGTTATCTTTTGGTATAAGAGAATTATATTCTGAGTTATTATTGTATCATTAATGACTTGAGGTTAAAATATGTCCTTAAGATATCCTCTTCTCTCATGAAAATTTAATTTAGAATAGATAAGGACTTTCAGAAAGAAGAGTTCTAGTTAGATATACTCTCATCATTTGATGATTTAATGCTTAAGGGTTTTTTAAGTACCATTAAAACTCCTATATGACATTTCAGTAAGGATTTGGAACAGTTAGGGTATTCATTCTTCATAAACAAGATTCACAAGAAATTCTATATTTTATCAAAGTACCAAATAATTGTTTGGTTTCCTAAAAATGCTTCCTTTTGAGTCTACTTATTTAAGATTTCTTTCCTTCTTAGTCTTTAGCAATTTTAGGAAAGGTTCTTCCATCTCATAGAGAATCAATTGGAGGTAAATGATTGATTCATCAAAATATCCCCAACAATGGTTATTATTGAAGATAGCAATATAAAGCATTAAGAACCTAAGTATTTGCAGAAACACAGGTAGGAGAAATAAGAGGCTAAAAGCTGTCTCAGTTTAGAAAAATATCACGCATGATGAAAAACTCAAACAATATCCATGTGATAAGCAAATCAAGTAAATAAGTTGCGTCAAAACCCTCTAAAATGAAAGAATGGTCCGGACCTCTAAACTCTCTATATGTGATGATTTTGATGCATACCATGATGTGTTAGCAATAACAAACTCTTTGGTCATTTAGTTCATAACATAACAAATTTATAACTAGTAGCACTAACTACAATCTTACATTTAATATCCCTATGCAACTTGAGAATTGGTTGAATGATCGAATATGATTGGTTAAGAAAGATAAGAATCACTGTAAATGACTATAGAGAAAAACAAGTGTTTCAGTAAAAATTAATGAAGAAAAATTGAAAACCATGATTCAATAATGGACGAGATAACATAACTTTCATAAGCAAATGTAATGATAGTAAATGTTTAAGCCCAAATGTCTTGTATTGGTTCGAGAGTGCATCTAAACAAGTCCTCAACTATAACTTGAACTACCTCTTTGAGTATATTATCCCATTGCTAAAAAGACATGGTCGGGAACATATCAACATCATCCAAGAGGTAAACACTTCCTAAGGTGAAGGAGTTGGCCTCAAGGATGAGAGAAGATTCTTTTCATTCAACCTTTAGAATATTACAGTAATTATCTGATTATATAAGAGGATTTTCCAAAACCCACTTACTTGGGGGGTTTTCTTTCACTTAGGACAATTCTCT